TTCTTCTTGTTCTACCATCTCTAGTAGCTTTGGGGTTGATTTCTTTAGTTCTTCTAGGTGTATAATTATATAGTCTTCTAGTAGTGATCCTTTTAAATCTCATTTCTTTTCTACACTTTATTATGCAGATAATAAAATAGAAATCTCTCTAACATAGTTACTCCTTCCTCCTTATTGCTCATGCCAAAAAGAAACTTACGCACTGCACTTGATCAACACCAAAACCCACTGGCTCTCTCCCTTCCCACCGCTTCATCTTTCACTGGTTCTCAGCCCACATGGATGTGGCAATGGCTTCCGGATCACAATCCAAAAGAGCAACCACAGGGACCTTTGGGAACATATGTCAGATGCCCCACTTCTGCTCAAAGTCCTCCAGACTCCTTCAGTCCCTTCCCAAGTGCTGCATGACCCACCACCTCCACCTGTCTGGTCTAATCTCCAGCCCAGCCCACTTCTTCCCAGACATAGGAGCTCTCTGCTGCGCTCCGAACACGCAGGATGTGGCTGTGCTTGGGGCCCTTGTTCTTGCTGGTTTCTTTGCCAGGACAGCCTTTCCCAGGCATCCGCTTGGCTCACCTATTCTGAGCTGCTCCAGTGTCAGATCCTCCCAACTCCCCTTTCTAATCCTGAGTGCTGCTCCTTAGTGCTCCCTAAGCTTTTCCTGTTTGGTTTATTTTTCTCTGTTACATTTTCACCATCTGATAGTCTATATATGTACTTATGTCTCATCTTCTGTATGCATGCACACGCACACACACACACACACAATCAAACTCAAAGCTTCAGAGAGCAAGGATTTCTGCCCACTTTTCTCATTACTGTATTCTGAGCAGTGGAAAATAAATGCTCAACAAATAATTGTCTTGGATGAAAGCTCACCTATGTTTTGTATCAGGTTGAGGATGAATCATGATGAAATATCCAAATTCAGTATGATTCATATCTATAGCATTATTAAGTGGACTTTATATTATATTGGGGAAGAATATTTTATACCTGATTTTTACAGATTCAGTTAAGTGCTAAATTTTATTAAACATTTAATCAGACAGATGTAATTTTATGTCAGATCATTCAAGGGAGGGATAATACATTCCACTAAAGAATTTCTCCCTTAAATTATTAAATAAAGTTAATCTCCAGGGATAGTCCAAAAAAACATTAAATATGTTGTTCAACTGGGATTATTGCCTTCTCCTGGATATAAGCCAATGCTTGATTCACCAGAGATCAAAGAAGAGGAAATGCTAATGATTTACTCAGCATGAAAAATAAGCAAGATAAGGAAAAATGCTTTGCTGACAAATTTCACACTGACCCTTGTTGACGCCTTACTTGTGTGTATGCCATTGATTAATGATTGCATCTGAATGAGTTTATTGGATTTCCAGCTAAGAACAACTATTCTTATGCAGATAATGGCTCATAGTCACATTAAATTGTCTACGAGTTATAATATTTTTAGCCCCCTTAATTGTTTGTTTTACCAACATTTGGCCCCTTTCCTGTTCCTTATTATTTCCCACAAATAACAGGCACTCTGGTAAGAAAAAACTATAGGTAAATTTATCCATTTAGATTTTAATTCTAACATATGTATTTATAATTCCACAAGAAAAAGCATCAAATATTTTAATGAATAAATTATATTAGCCTTTATCTTTCAGAAAATGATAAAAGCCTGGTATTTACCAGGGTATAAGGTTCCTAATGCTTACAAACAACTTTTGTGTTGTTTTTACACACGAGAATTTGAAAGTCCTTTTAGATCTAACCTGTGACCCCTGTCAAGTTGTTAGGACAACTGTCTGTCACATTAAACACAAGAAAAGTCCGAGAAAATGTCGTAGGCAAGAGGATTCTAAGTACACATGATGATGAAATGTAATGAGGTATCCTGGATAGGACCTGAGTATCGAAAAAGCACATTAGGGAAAAACTAAGAGAAATTTAGTAAAGTATGGCCTTTACTTAATAATTAAGAATTAACATTGGTTCATAAATCGGGACAACTGCAACATAAGAAATAAGATACTAACAATAGGGGAGAATCTGGGCAGAGTATACAGGAGCTCACTGTATAATCTTCCCAATTTTTTTCTCAAACTAAAATGTTCAGAAATAAAAAATTATTAAAAATAAAATTTTTAATATGACTGAAATTTTTAATTATCATGAAGATTGTTTTCATAGTTGATGAAGAAAGAGTTCTAAACCTCTACATAAACAATAGAATAAGGTATTTTAGAAGTGAGTGATGCTATATATTTAGGCATGCTTTTCCTTCAGTTTTGTGATGATTTCAAAGTAATGTTTAACTTGAATTATCTAGATGCTTATCTTAATAGTCTATGTTGCTTATATTTGTGAAAGCAACCTACCTTTATAAAAATCCAAACAAAAAAAATGGCAAATCTAAACAAGTAGAGACCAACATTTTGCTAACTGATCAATGGAATAGCAAATAAAGAACAGAATGAACTCAACTATAAATTAAATGAATATTAAGATAAACAGTTTTGAAAATTGATGATCTCTTTTAAAGTATATGGTGGTTGGATTTTTCTCTTTGTAAATCTTTATTCTTTGAACACCATATTTACATAAGGTAATGCATATCTCTACAAACAGAAAACTACATACAGCACATCCATTGGTTTCAAACCAAAGATATCCTAGAAGATAAGTATTAGCTGGCCATGTGATAACCACAAATCAGAGAGCTCTGGGCCTGCTTGCACAACTGAAAACAAAGCATTGGAAGGAAAACTACCTGCATTGGCCACTGACAATAACTCTAGCATGAGCCCATGGGAGCTAAAGGGATTGGGCCCTCTTAGAGCAATAGGCTGAACACATGTACACCAAAAGTGAAGTCAGCATTTCATTCATCATCCCAGGCCAACATCAAGATAGTCCAGCAAGTAACTGGGAGCAACAAGTTGGGGTTATAGCTTGCATTGCTATACAAAGGTAGGGAGACCCATTCCCTAAACTGTGGCTCTACACATCTGTATCTTTCAGGATACACCTCCAAACTTTTCTTCCAGCAGCATCAGAATCAGGCATTTCCTAGCAGCATGTTTGAATATATGAGGGTGAAAGAGAGGTTGGAAATCTCAGGGGAATTTCTGAGGTCTAACTCCTATGACTGCTTGCAAATTCACCACTAACTTGCCACATCATAAAATGATTTGGGGGGTTGTGGGTGTAGCTCAATGGTAAAGCATGTGCTTAGCATACATGAGGCCCTGGGTACAATCCTAGCACCAAAATAATTATATCTTAAATATTTGCAACATTTACCAACCTAAAAAGATGATAATATTATTGTCTCAGGAATGTACTAAATACCACCGATATTAGCATTTCATGAGAATGTACTAAATATGATATTTCTATTAAAGATCTCAGGAATAAGGTCTTTAACAGAAATATTTCCCCTTTAATACTAAAATATTAAAGAGGAAACTAGGTAATAAATTAACCGTGTGCAATATAGGAAACATTTCTATCCCAGGATATTTTTAAAAACATTATTCAATTGATGTAATATAGAAACAAGGGAGAATTAATCTAAAAATAAAAATAATCTAAGGGAAAAAGTGTCATGCATTCTCGCCGTTCTTTCCTAAACATTTTTATGCCGTCTCATGAAATAATGACCATAATTTATTTGCATGGTTATAACTTCCTTTTATCTGTCAATTCCAATCTCAGCAACGATTTCTTCCAGAGCACCCTATGGACAGACACAGTGTTCACACAGAATTTAAGTACTGTGTTTCTACTCAAGAAATACACAAGCCATCAACTAGGGCCCAGATCCTCCTTCCTTCTCTTGGTTGGTAATAAAGGCTTTGCCTGCAAGCCCCTGACCCTGCACAAGGTGAGAAGAGACAGTTGCGAAGAGAATAGGAAAATAATGGGTATATCTTGACTCTCATTTTTGGTAGAATAAAAGCTAAGAAACAATTACAGAATATCTGGGGGTAAATCCCCTGCCCACGCCACCACAATGGCTAAGTTTAAGTGTCAACCTAACTGGATTAAGGAACACCTAGAAACGCGGGAAAAGTGCTCTGGGTGTGTCTGTGAGGGTGATCCCCGAGGAGGTCAGCCTGTGAGTGGGCGTGGACTAGGTGGGGAAGCCCCAGCTTAATGTGGACGAGAGAATGAATACAGACCGCAGATTGGTTCTAGCGTCCCACCCACCCCAGACCTGCGCGCTGAGGCCCCTCAAGGTTCTCAGGGTTACTGCCTCAAACTGAGTTATCCTCAGCTTCTCTGTTCTGAAACCTTCAGAGCTGGGCTGAGCCATGCTATTGGGATCCTAGGGTCTCCAATCTGCCGATGGCCTGTTGTGGGACTTGCCCATGATAATTATGTGAGCCAATTCCCCAGTAAATCTCTTCCCATGTTTACAGATCTATCTGTTAACTATCATCTGTCTCTTATTGCTTTTGTCTCTCTGGAGAACTCCAACATGCCCCCATCAGCTTTCCGAAATGGAATCATGAATACAATCTAATGAGACTCTAGAAAAAAAGCAACATAAAATAATTAATTCCAAACGCTCATAAGGTCAATAACTAGATGGTAAATTTCACGCAGCTATAATCATTTATTGTGCAATAGTCTTAACCATGGTGTCATGTCAAATATTAATGTTCCTGTATACCATTTGTTTACACAGAATGAGAGTAAATAAGCAAATATGAATTTAAAATAAATAAAGCAAATAGGAATTGAATTACTCGAGTTTTGTCCTTTTCGTTGTTTATAGCTTTCTTGAGGGTAGCTGCTGAGTATGAGCGGAATGTGATCAGGACTAATTTTACATAACATCTATCCGTCTCATCTTTTCCACCAAACAGCTCACTTCATCCAATTATCTGCTCACAAAGGCCCCGAAGAGCTATTTCCAGGCTCACGTGCTTACTGGAGTTTTATATACACAACTCACTACCCTTTGTAACCTGCAAGAGCACAGCATCGCCACGCCTCAAGAGCTCCTTTTACATCCTGGCCTGGGCGTGCCTCTTCCCAAGAGCACAATGGCCAGTCTGTGGTCGGGGGCACCCGCCAGTCAGGGGGGCTGGCACACTGCCAGGTACGAGTCCCTTACCGCAGCCTCAAACAGGAACCAGCGCTGCCAGCAGGGAGTGGAGTCTGCAGGCTTTCCTGCATTTTAACCCTGAAGGAACAGAGGAGCAATTACATCTCTGAGGGAAAAGCAAAGGGGGCTGGGTCATCAGGCCTGGCTGGCTTCATGGAAATTTAGGCAACATCCTTCCCCTGCTGCAGCAATGAGTGTTGAGCTCCTGACCCCTTCCTATTCTCGGTGTCCGATTCCAACTCCTTATGCCAAATAGAAGAAGAAATGCTGTCCCAAAGGCTGAGAATTTAAAAACCACCGATGTCCCAGCAGACCTCTGGCAACTGGCTCATTAGAAATGTAAGTCATTGATTTTTCTCTTTGGTTTCCTCTCCCACCTCCCTTTTGGAATGGATTCCTAAAGTGTCAGGGAAATTTAAAGAGCATACACAGGGGACAGAAAGTGAAATTAGTTGGCGTCTCTATCAATGAGCTTGGAGCAGTGAAGTGAGCTGCAAGGGACATGTGGGGCTGCTTGGCATTTCTGAATGAAGCGATTAAAAGGCAGGGTGGCGAGGAAGTGCCTTCGAGCTAAGTTTCAAAGGTTCTTACAGGAAGAAGGGCCCTTAGAATGAGAGGGGCCACGGAGTGAACTGTCAGCAATGTCCAGTCTCTGAAGCATAGGGAGGTAGCACAAGGTCCATCTGACAAGCACAGCCTCAACCTGTCAGGCATGGTTCACAGTGGGCTCACGTTCCATGTGGGACTTTGTGAACAGAAGCATGGCTAATTTTATGTGTGGACCTGACTAGGCTAAGGGGTGCCCAGATAGCTAGCAAAACACTGTGAGTGTACCTGGGAGGGCGAATCCAGAAGAGTTTAGGAATTTCAATAGTGGACTGAGTGAAAATCTTCTCACCAACATGGGCAGGCATCACCCAATAGGTGGAGGACCTGGTAGAGCAGAAAAGTGAGGGTGGCTGCCTTCTCTCTCTGTGCTGGAGCAGGGACATCCATCTTCTCCATCCCTTGGAAATCTGAGCTTCTAGTCCTCAGGTCTTAGGGCTTGGACTGAATCACACCGCTGGCTTTCCTGGTCCTCCAGCTGGCAGCAGACTTGGGACTTCTTGATCTCCAGTTCCTATAAAATATTCATTCTCTCTCCCTCCCTCCCTCTCTCCCTCTCTCTCCTTCTCCACACACAGGCTATATAGCTTAGGTGTGGAGTAGGCTACGTTTGTGTAAAGACACCCTGTGATGTTCCCACAACCACAAATTGCCCAACAACACATTTTTGGCGTCTTTCCTCAACCTTACGCAACTCACGACTGTGTATTCATGCAACTGGTCCGAGAATAACACAGAGGGATGACGGTCAGGGTGCCCACACCTGTGCAGGCAAAAATCCACAAATAACTTGTGACTCCTTCAAAACTAAGTTACTAATAGCCTGCCATTGACTGGAAGCCTTATTGATGACAGTAACAGCCAATTAAAACATACTTGGCATCTCATATGTATTATATACAGTGAAAATACGAGAGAAACAAGATCCACAAGAGATCACTTCCTACTAAGATAGTAATGTACTGGAGACACACACTGCTCATGTTGAGCTCAGTGTGTCCTGCGTGCGTGGGCACCACTGTGGTGGGACAGGAGGTGGTGGCACAGTTACAGCAGCACCGCACACACCGCACTGGTGCCTTCAGACTGAGTCTTCACATTGCTTTACATTTCTCTTGGCTGCAGTTGGTTCTGTATATGTTCAGTATTTGTGTGCATAAGGTTTGATAAATTTTAATTTTGTGCATTAGATTTCTGTATATTTCATGGTAAATGATAGACCATCATCTACATGTATTTTATGCATTTGTGTTATAGCTTGTGACTGCTCATGCAATCACAGGGGGTGCTTTTCAGAGGTGGCTGGATGTAGAGTGTGAGGTTACTAAATCAGTCCATTGATTGGTTTGGCACAGGTCTGGCTATGGTTAAGGGTGTGAGTGCTACACCTGCCCTAGTGCGGGTAGCCTGCCTAAAATATAAAGTAAGAGAAAGAAGGCTACGGCGCTCTTGCCTGCCTGCCTGCCCGCCATGGACTGTTTCTCCTCTGCCCTGCCCCTCTGCCAGGCCACCCTGCCCTGGAGCCAGCCAGCTGTAGACCGAAACCTCTGCAAACGGTGAGCCTAATAACCTTTCTCATTTAACTTTGGGTGTCAGATATTTTGTCTCAACAAGGAAAAATGTAACGAAGATCATTTGTGACATATCTTTTTCTCTTTTTTTCCCATATTTTTAGGCTACGTGGCTTATTTGGAAGTTTTTTCAACTGTTTCTAGTCTCAAAAAATAAAAACAAAGCCATGTGTAAGTGAATCTGTGCAGTACAAACTCATGTTGTTCCAGGCCCACTGTATATCATCCGTCCACCTTCCATCCACCATCCGTCCACCTTCCATCCTATGTGCTGTTTCTCTGGAGAACCCTGACCAACACCCAGGCTAACCCTACGCAAAGTTACACAAGGGCAATGTGCACCTAATATCCCTGCGACCTCCTTCCCCGGCACTCCAGCGCTCTCTAGGGCCGTAAAGGGTGACCGGCATCCGGGCCCTGCAGGTGACCTTCCGGTGGAAACGCAGCCTCTTCCTGAGCGCCACCCTTCACAGCTGTGTCCCTCAGGACACACCCCCTAGTTTGCAGGCATAGCCACCCGTCCAGCCACCCCCACATTTAATGGAATCAAAACTTCTGCACCTTCACCCTCTGTCCTGCAGATGCTGAGCTCAGTAAAGTTTGACTGAATTAATAAACGTGTGAAAAATGCAAAAGCCAAAAGAATCATCACCAGTGAAATTTCAGTCTCTATAGTACTTGAACAGAGTAAAGAGAGACTTTTTGTTTGTACCTAGAAATCTTTTCCCATGGGTCTTGTCAGCTTCTGCATACAAGTAAATTTATTAGCATTCTTTGAAGGCGACTTGAGAGACATAGACCATAAAGACACTGAAATCACTCTTTGTTTACAAGGACATAAAACATAAGCATAACTGATTTTCTCTCTCCTTCTTTTACTTTGAAATTGACATTTATGATTAACAATCATAAATCACAACCAGTACTCTTTGTTTTCTCTTGGCACTAACTTGAATTGTTAGCTATTCAAGGAATTCCCCAATCTTTCAGTCTGCCAGAATGATTATTAACATTTTCTGACACTAAGCTCTTCTTAGATCAACTTCACTTACCTTTGGCATGGTGTACTTTGGTACTCTCGTGTTCCTGTGTCACTATGGAGTCCTCCTCTGTTACCTCTCCAATACTATATATGGTGCCAAATCACTGTTCCCAACAAATTAGAGAAGATTATGTTTGCCCAAATTTTATAAATATCAATCGGTATGTTAAGTCCAAAGAACAACATCTTTTTTGAGGAGGCTCTTTTACTTCTGTGCCCATGATATAATTAGGTGTTAGCACAGGAACAAATTCTCTGCATGAATAAGCATGGAACTGCTAGTAATATAGATAAATGGATGGTACACAGGGAAATGTGATATAGGTGAGTGCGGGAGTGAAGATATTTTTGAATTTACGATGTAGATTCATTGTGTATAAAGACACAATTCCAATCAGTCTTTGCAAACCTCTTCTAAGTGATGAGAAAAAACTTAGACGTGAAGGAGGTGAAAGAGCGAAAGGCCTATCATTTGGCAGTTACCTAGGGAGTGTGAGGCTTACACGCGGGAGCAAAGGACTATGACGAGCAGCCAGGCGCTTGTGGGACAGCAGGCAGATAGGCACAGGGAGGGAAGGCGGAACACAACGGGGAGCTGTAGTCTCAAGCATTTTGACTCAGTTATGCTGATTAAGATTATTAAAGATCAGTCCCAGTTAGTCGAGATTCATTTAGTGTAGATATGCCTTCATTCATTTTGCCAGCACTTCCAAGAGAAATACTACTATTATATAAAATGACATGTTCAATTGTGAACAAATAAAATTTATTTGCACACACAACTATACCTTAGGAGTAAATTGCATCATGATATAGACACAGGTATCATCAGTGTAATGAGACAGGGTCCCATTTAGATCATTTTTGTCAAAAGATATAGAAAGTTATATTATAGGAAAATCTGATTAAGAAACTCACTATATTTTTGTTTGGTTTGGTTTCCCTTTTATCCTAACAAAACATACAATGCCAAAGGTAAGTGGAGTAAGTCTTGTACTCACAACAAAATGATATATTTGCCCAGTATTGTACCATTGAGAAGACAGACCAAGGCCTTTGAGTTTCAGGAATCAGGACTCATTTTGCCTGGGAATAATTAATAGATTCTGCTTTCAAAAGTGTGTTAGTCACTTTCTTGCTGCTGGGACAAAATGCCCCACACGCACAACTTAAAGGAAGAGAGGTTTATTTAGGCTCGCAGTTTCAGAGGGTTCAGTCTGTGGTCAGCTGGCTCTAAGGCAGAAACAGCATGGTAGAAGGGCGTGGCAGAGAAAAGCTAGTCTACCCATGGCTTCCTGGAGGGTCAGGGGAGAAGCTGAGGACAAGAATACATCCTTCGGTCACCCACAGAGACCCACATCCTCTCACCAGGCCCCACCTCCTAACAGTACATTCAGCTGTAAACTCATCAATGGATGAGTCCACCCCCTCAACCCAGTCCCCTTCTAAAGCCTCACCTTTGAGCACATGAGACTCTGGGGGCTATTTTAGAGCTAAACCATAAGAAAAGTATAGGTTCCCAAGGGCAGAGGCGTAACTTGTCCAAAAGAACACTCTAAGGTTTGCAGAAGGAACAGGTCCAATCCAGAAAACAGAACTGGTTTCTCAAGACAGGAATCAAGGCAGAGCTGGTGTGTTTCCTAAGTGGGGACCTGCCCTCTGTCCCCGTGCTCTCCGTGGCAACAGGGTGGGAACAGTAAGCACACAGTGCTGCACGCTATACAAAGGGTCCTCTATGGCCAATTTGTGGCCAGGGCAAAATCTCTATGAGGAGCTCACTGCAGCCATCACAGCTGTCTAGAAATCAGGGCAATAACACAAGGAGTAGCAGACAGAGTCCTGGCAACAATGATGGCCCTGCAGAATGCTTTGGCCAGGTTGGTTGTCCACCTTCTGGACAAAGAAGGGCAGAAGATTTAACTGACAATCCCGCCAAGCTATATACAACTAGGGAGGAGTTTTTCCTAAACAAATCCAAAGAGGCTATTTTAAAAGGGACATGTTGGCAAAAACACAGATATCCAATACAGGTAGTGTACAAAGGGAAGTGTACAAAGGGAAGAGCCCTTTCTGATTTTTCCTCTGGCCACATAAAATCCAGAATTTTTATATGACCCAGTGTCAAATAGATAGGTTTTTTTGTTATGTGATATATTATGAAAGTGGCACCTGACCTAGTTTTATGTTAATTTAGAAAAATAAACAATAAAGCATTTCATATGCCAGGCATCTGGAGGTAAATTCATTCATTCCTGGTGATTTTCTATTTGTTTCTCCACGTCCACTTCCTGCCCCTCACTGGCACCAGGGGGCTGACTCTGCCAGATGCACATGGGCCGCCTTGCCCTCTGGCTTCGCACTGGGCCCTGCAGGAGAGGCGGGGGCTTCAGCTCACTGAGAGGCACTTTACTCCTCCTTGTTAGTAACCACCTTCCACCCAGTTTGTGAAAAGTCCTTTTAGGAGTTTAGCCTGACCTTGCTCCCCTGCTACAAAGCTGCACTGTAGAAGCCTCCTTCGAAGAAAGGTCTCCCTTACTGTCTTCAACAAATGTCACAATTTTTTTTCTTTAATAGTTACAGTGCCCACAACTTGGACCTGCAGAACTCTGTCTCAGAACCCCAAGTAGGCGCCTTTGAAGGCTCCTAGCTGACAGGTCAAGACTCCACTTGTGGGTCTGACTCCTTGAGCCAGTGCTCCGTATGATAGTCCACTGAAGTACATTTGTTTTATTAAGTGCCCAACTCCCACCTTGTAGAGCACGATCCTATACAACCAAGCTCCACAGAGGGGCCAGCAGGTCCTTCACGAACACGAGGTGACCCAAGGAGAAAACAGATTCACACAGCTCAAAGGGAAGAAAATCTCTTCTTTCCCACCAAAAAGAGGATGTGACAAAACTCTCTACTCGGCCTTACTCCACTCAAGATCCTCCAAGCTCCTAAGGTCCCCAAGCATAGGTTCTCTCCTCTGCCTGTGAGGGGCAGTTTTGGGTTTGGATCTGAAATGTCCCCTCAAATGGCCCCGGAGGGTGGGCGGATCACGGGGCACTGAGCTCAGCGGCAGAGGCTGCCGATGAGAAGCGGGTCCCTGGGGTGTGCCTGGCAGGTCTCTCTCCCTGACCACAACACAGGCAGCTTTCCTCCACTGGACTCTTGCACCGCACTTTCCTGCTTTGAAGCCCACTGAACGTAGACTGAAACTTCTAAAGCCCTGGGCCAAAATATACCTCTCCTCCTCCAACTTGCAGGTATCCAGTATTGTGTCTCCGCAACAAGAAAGGGACTGACACAGTCAGTTTAGCAAAGCTCCCCGCTCTTGATTTCCGATCAGTTCCTCAGTCTGCCCCTGCAGTATCTTATGGCTCTGGCCCACTTCCAGCTAGAATGCTGTTGAGTTGGTCTGGCGAGAGCCACTGTACCTCAGTCATTTCCATCTCTGTTGCCCCTGACCATGCTTCTTGACTGTAAATCTCCACTTATCCCTCCTTACTTGGAGCTGAGTTCGATTTTTCTCTCCTTCGACTAAATCCCACTGTTGCACACCCCTCATGACACGAATAAAGACTTCCTTACCATTTTAAAAATAAATAAATTCCCTTTAATTAACTCTGCAATCACTCTGATTCAGCATTCCATCTGCTTCCTGCCAGGACCCTGACTGATTCACACAGTAAAAACAAATCCAGGTTGAGGAATCAGGAAATGAGTAGTCTGTGACTCAGCCCATCAGTCTGTTTTCTAATTCTGGTTCCGGTCCCTCTTTCTCCCAAGATGAAGTGTGGTCTGAGCTGCCACAGCCGCAAATCTGTGTCCAGCAAAGAGCTCTGGAAGGCCAGAGAGCACCTCAAAGCACTGTGAAGCTGGAGCCAGCAGCCCCAGCCCCAGCGTGGTACCTCAGACCCACACCATACACACTCGGGTATGCTCAGCTTACCTGCCACTCTTACACTTGAAGAGAAAGGGCAGGATGGCTTCCAGGGTGGGCACCACCCCAACTCCACATTCCTTCCTGCCAGGCTGGGGGAGCTGTCACCAGAGCCCACCCTCAGCCCATTGGCTATTGAATGCTGCGCTGGAGCCATGTTGTGAGGCAGAACCCAGTTGCTATGTTGGAAGAGGGCGGCGAGGCCACACCTATTACGTATGTGTGAGACCGTGTTCTGGTGCCAACTGCAGCATGCTTTGCTGATCCTGATTCAGAAGCACTGACAGTCAGCCGCACCAGGGAGAAGAGATCCCCTCACTGGTCAGAGGTAGATCTGGAGGCCCTGGTGCTGCCCTCTGTCCCAAGGCAAAGGTAGTAGCAGAGGGACGTGGTGCCTAGGGTTCGAGACTGCCTTTTACCTCTAGCATCTGGGAAGACAGGCCAACCAGCTCCCTGAGAATCCCTCCTACAGCTTGGGAAACAGCTACTGTGAGTCGCCAGAGCTTTCAAAATTGGAGTGGTGTCACAACTATCACAAAGAAAGGGGCATGAAAGAGTTAAATCTCAAAATCT